TGATAGATAGAGAGATAGAATGATAGAGAGATAGAGAGATAGATAGATAGAGAGAGAGAGAGACAGATAGATAGAATGATAGAATGATAGATAGAGAGATAGAATGATAGAATGATAGATAGATAGATAGAATGATAGGTAGATAGAGAGAGAGACAGATATATAGAATGATAGATAGATAGAGAGAGAGACAGATATATAGAATGATAGATAGATAGAGAGATAGATAGATAGATAGAGAGAGAGACAGATAGATAGAATGATAGAATGATGTTAATAACCCACATATTGTCAGCAGAGATGAATAAAGTCAGTCACATGTTTTCATCTTTTTTTAAATATTTTTAATACCAACGTTACCTCAGAGCTCACGTGTCTGTGACGACGCGCGGGCGGACTACATGTCCCAGAATGCCACGGGCCGCCTGTGACGCAGGTTTCAGATAAAAACATCCTGGCACCGCTCGGCCGTTAGTGACGCTGAGGCCGGAGGAGGAAGTCGATCAGCGCGGGTCCAGCTCCAGTGCAGCTCCAGTCCAGCTTCAGTGCAGCTCCAGTCCAGCTTCAGTCCAGCTTCAGTGCAGCTCCAGTGCAGCTTCAGTGCAGCTCCAGTCCAACACAGTCTCCAGGAGGAACCCGCCGCAGCATCATGTCTGAGGGCGACAACAAGAGCGCCAACATGCTGGTGAGTGTCACCCAGGCTAAGCGCCGTGGCGCTAGCACGCAGCGATGCTAATGCTAAGCGTGCTCACGCAGCCGAGGACATTTTGAAATATTTAAAACCTGAGCTCTGCTCCGGCGGGTATCGAACTGTGTGATTTACATGTTTATTAACCACTGACTCGATCGACCCCCCCTCCCCCTCCCAGTGACTGTAAGCTAGCGCACCGACCGCTGCTAGCTCGTTAGCTAGCTGGTTTAATACGCTAGCTTCCGCAGAGACTCTGTCACCTCGTCCGCCATCGTGATCGCAACTCGCCTCGGGTGTCGAGCCTGAAAACAATGGACCTCGGTCCGGGTGGTTCTGTGTTCCTCGTCCATGTGTTCGCTTCGTGCTGCTCGCGGTGAGTCTGTCCGGTTTACTGCACAGTCACGTCGGTGCAGAGTCAGACTCCGTTACCGGAGCAGTCACTCAGGAGCCAGAGGAAATATCTTTCACTGAACATTCAGCTTCTGTAATGAACTGGTGGAAGTCCAGAAGAGTAGCACGATTAGTTTTAACTTATTAACTGAGCCGACTGCACAGTTTAATGTATTTTATACATTAATGGGTTAAAGGTCACACACACACATATGTTTTTATATATAAACCAGGTTTACTAGTTTGGGTGCAGCAGAATCATTGTTTCACATTCTGTGTTGAATTGTGTGTCCAGGCCCAGGAAACAGCCCAGCTGGAGGAGCAGCTGCAGGGCTGGGGTGAGGTGATCCTCGCCGGGGATCGAGTCCTGCGCTGGGAGAAGCCCTGGTTCCCTGGGGTCCTGATGGGCGCCACCACCATGCTCTTCCTGTGAGTTACCGTCTGCTGTGTCACAGGGCGACGCACAGCTGGGTGAATGGTTGGCATAGCTCGCGTTTCCTCCTTCTCAGCTGTGACTTGGCAATAACTAGACCGAGAGAAGTTGAGGACAGGAACTTCGTCAGGTGGAACAAATAGTTTCAAAAGATTATGTCGAGCCTCATTGTTGAAGCACAGAAGCAGAAGAAGTAGATTATACTAAGATTAGTCTGATTAATGAGCTTATCTATAATTCTTTAGTTCGTCAAAGTAATTCTTGAAAAAGCTTTTCAGTGAAACGAACAATCAGTCTCTGTTAATGGATCTGAATGTCTTTCCTAACCCGGTTTAAAACGTCTGACTGAATTGTCTCCCCCCTCCAGAATGATCTACTACCTGGATCCATCAGTGCTGACTGGACTCTCCGGCACTGTCATGTTGCTCTGCCTGGCGGATTATCTGGTGCCCACCCTCGCTCCCAGGGTCTTCGGCTCCAATAAGTGGTGAGATTGCACTGAAATGTGTCCCCTACCTTTTCTACAGACGGGCCTCTCACTGAGGCGTCGGTCTTCTGTTTTTTTTAATTTAATTAAAGGCAGAACATAATGAAATGGTGTCATGTTTCAAAGACATCCAACTAAACTGCGCTCTTATTAAATCTCTGGAGTCAAATAGGCCATAAATTGTGTGAGAAGCAAGTCACGAGGGAGATTTTTCTGGATCCAGCTCCATCCAGTTATTTCTTACAAGATGTGAGCAGGTTTTACTCACAAGAAAACTGGGGATTAAAGACCAATTTAGAGATTTGTGTTAGTGAAGAATAATTAAACTGTCTCTGAGTCCTTTCACCTTTGATACGACATATTTACATATAGTGTTTCCTTCTTCCATCTCATACGTTCCCTGTAGGAAAACAGACTGAAAAGCTTTGGACCAAGGAGTCATGTCATGACCTTGGGGGGGGGTAGGGAGTTCAGATTTTTGCTGTACCTAATATGATGACCTGAATGTTGTCACCTGAAACTGGTCCTATAGGGTGTCGCTTTGCTGGAACTTTGACATTACACAGTGCTTGCATAAAAGCCCTTGACTCAGCTGTGTGCGTTAGATGTTGAGAATCAGACACCGGGGACAGGATAGAGTAACGTCCTGCAGCTGGCACCGCGTGTTGGACGTCTGACGCCTTCAGCCTTAGTATGTTGCCCTGCAACCGCAGAGCTTTGGCCTGAATCTCAGTTCACAGCAGCCGACTAAGTTCAAAGCTGCGTCAAGTGTTTGAATTAACAGAAAAGTGAAGTTTATTTTGCTGCACTTTCTATTTATTCATGTCCCAGTAAGTCAGCACTCCTTAACGTACCCATCAGTAGTCTGTAACATTCACGCCTGAGCTTTTAAATGCACTTTTTGATTTTTTTGATGCAGCTCTGGAACATGCACATTAATCTGTGTGTGAACAAAATTCTCTGAGAATGCACAGAATGCATTTTCCTGCAGAGTCAGTCAGATAGCTGCAGTGTTGGAGTGAGTGGGATAAATGAGGCGATCAGTCTGGTCACGGTCGTTGTTTGGCTTCCTGACACCAAGGACTGAAATAGGAACGATGGCTAAGCAGAAAACAGGGGCCACTTTCCTCAGCTGCCCCCCCCCCCTCTGCCTCTAGTCGAGTCCCCTGTGGTTATATAACTCACAAACACGGGGTGATGATCTGTAACGTTGCTCAGTCAGGTCTTTATCTATTATTTTGCTCAATAAACCTGATGTTTTTTTAAAAAGTCTGTTGTGTCCAGTCACCGGTTCGACGCTCAAACGTAAGATCAGCCGGAGAAGGAACAAACATTTACGTTTGACTTTTCTAAGTCTGACCAGCGGACTTTGGCTTAAATGAGAAATCAAAATTGATGCCGATTCCTTTTAGGTTGGTTCACTTGGATTTTCGCTTCTGATGGAAATTCCACAACAATCCTAAGAAGCCTGTGCCCCCCCCCCCCAGTCTCGTTAACAGTTAAACTGTTAACGAGACGTAAGCTTGGGTTCTGTCTTGATGACAAGATGGTGGTGTCAGTACATGTTGGTCTGAAAACATAATAGATTGTTTTTTTTAGCAGACTTTTAAAAACTTGATTCCGTTCTGTCGCCTTGTGCAGGACCACTGAGCAGCAGCAGCGTTTCCATGAGATCTGCGGAAACCTGGTAAAGACCCAGCGTCGGGTTGTGGGCTGGTGGAAGCGTCTTATCGACCTCAAGGAGGAGAAGCCCAAAATGGTACGTTGATGATGAAGTGAATGAAATGTTATGCAGACACCAACCTCTGATACTGTGTCAGTGCAGTAAATCAACTCTTATCTGTTTCTTACAATGCTGAGCTTTCTCTGTGCTCCAGATAAAAATATCCTCAGCTGATTTGGCTGCTCCACTTAGCAGACTGCAAACTGGGTTAGAGGCCGCGTTAACCAGGTCTCCTAGAAATCAACACTGTTCCACACACACACACACACACACACACACACACTCTGTTAATCTGGCTTTGTTGGTTCCTTCAAAGTAAGAACATGTTCTGTTTGAGAAAATAAACCAGTTTCTGTTCATCTGAAGCGTGATTCTTTAAACTCAGGGATGTTTGCTAGTGTGAGATAAACGAACTGTAGGTTGAATGTAATGTGACCCCCCCCCCCCCCCCCCCCTCTGCTCTCACAGTACTTTGCCTCCGTGATCAGCAGCCTGCTGGCAGTGGCCTGGATCGGACAGCAGGTGCACAACCTGTTCCTCACCTACCTGATCGGTGAGTATATCACAGCTTTACCTTTTATCCTCTTCGCTGGTGAAGGTCTTTCCTCGTATGTTTGCGGACGTATTTTCTGTCACTGGTGCAAGTTGGTCACTCATAAAGGTCTTTGTGTGAGAACGAATGTCCGAGTCAGTGTCTCTGGACATTTTCCTGCAGCCCAGTAGTAAAAACACCAGAGTGTGTTTTGTAACAATGGAATGAAACGTATGATTTCATCACGGGAGCGTTACACATCATTAACAAGCTTCCAGGCACCGTGACTCAATAACTGGACCCATGAGGCAACAGACCTTTAAAATAAGATGCTGCTGGTTTCTTCTGCATGTGTGAGGAAGGTGTTTATCTTCTCAGTCTGTTCAGCAGTGAAAGTAAAGTGAAAGATATTATTATAGTGAACAAACACTCGTGTCACAGTTGCACCTGCACAGCGATGCCTCGGGGAAAGTGGTGGCTGTGTTGGAGTCGGTCATGTGATGCAACAAATTCATCTGATGGGAAAAACCATGACAACAGAATGATGTCAGAGAGGGAGTGACTCTGAAGCAACAAAGTATTTTATCGTACCAACAACTGAAATTCTACCAGTACTGCCAATAATTCCACTTCCTGTTAACCACCCAACCTTTTACTGATGTTAACGCCTCTTTATGCCTCCAGGCTTAAAGAGGTGGGTTTTAGGCGCCAATTATTAGTTGCCTAGCAGCAGATTTTTCATTAAAAAAACCACAGAGCTTGTGCTCAGCTTCCTGGCAACTGGCTTGTTTGTTTTAAAGCTGCCACAGTTCCGATCTGAACTCTGTTAGAATACAGGTTTGGGAGCTTGTTTCCTCTCCGTGGTGGATGTTGTTTGTCAGCAGTTTGCTTCAGGCTGAAAGGGGAGGGAACATGTGGCTCCAGCTGGGGGACTCACATGTTTTGTTTCTCTCTCCTGCAGTGAGCTTCCTGCTGCTGCTGCCCGGCCTCAACCAGCACGGCGTCATCTCCAAGTACATCGCCATGGCCAAGAGGGAGATAAACAAGCTGCTCAAACAGAAGGAGAAGAAGAACGAGTAAATGAGAGTGTGGATGAAGAGGAGAATCTCTGAAAGATGAACTACGACACAAAATGGAAGGTGGAAGGAAGTGTTGAGAAAGGGCCTCCTGTTTTCTCGTCTCCGCCACAGAGCGAGACACTTTTTTTTTTTTTTCTTCACGTGCTGAATAAGTGTCACTTCTCTCTCACTATTTGACGTTTCATCACCTTTTTTTTTTTCTCATGAATTTGCGATGCATGCAGCCACATGAAGGTTCAGACACACACACACGTTTATCTAAAGCAGCAGCACGTTCACACACATACACAAGTTTAAATCCTCCTCCTGTCTCTTGTTTTAAACGTGCTTTGTTTTAAGATGTTAGTGATGCTTTTAAGCCATTCCCTCTTCATGGACAAAGTGACTACTGAGCAGTTTTTGTAGCATTACGGCATCATATTCTCAGATTCCTCACTGTAGTTGTTTTGTTTTTTTTGTCAGATGAGAACAGGTCATTAGTGTTTTTGCTTTATTTGTATTTTACGTGGCGCTAAAACAGAACTGGATTTAAAGCTGAGCTCATCAGGAGTTCAACAGTGTCTAGATGCAGACATGCTGCTGCTAGCTGGACTCTGGTCTATTAGCTCTTATATTAAACCACACAGTGTTTCATTGGTGTGGGGTGTTTCTGTGTAAATAGACCTATCCCCCCCTCCCCCGTCCCTGTCAGTCAACCTTTTCTCTATTCTTGTTATTTATGTGTTCTTTCCTCTTCAGTCTGATCACTGTCTGTCAGCTCATTTCATTATTTGTCTTTATTGGAGATCTTTATGGAAACAAATAAAGTTTGATTTAAGTGAAAATCCCCTGGTCTTTGTACATGTTTTGAAGAGAATTGCTGTTTTGCAGCAGCAGCGTTTCTCACAGGGTTCTCAAGGTCACAGGGATTTCTGAAGAACCTCCTTACGCCCACTGGAGCTTCTGAAGATCCTTTTAGAACCAAGTAAAACTGAACATAATTCTGTACATCCAAAGGTCTCAAATCTCTCCAGTCTGCAAACACTTAATTCAAGAAACATGACAAAAAATAAACTTCCAACTGATGAAGCATGTGACCCTGATGACCTCATGACTGTGACACACACTGTCTGGGGACTTTTTGAATTAACCACTACAATCTTAAACCTGTGTGACAACATTTTAATGAATCAGCTGTTATATGTGCGTCGTCATGGAGACGACAGACTTGTTTGAGCTTCTCAGTTTGTTGCAGCACATTCATGAGGTTGACTTTTTCTGTTTGTCCACAGAAAATAATTCAAACCGTCTCTATTTGTATTTCGCTGCCGTCTCTCATCTTTAATATGTACTGTGGCTTTGTAGCTTGTATAACCGAGGCTAACGTAACAGCTGCCCTGCAGCTCTGTTCTCAGAAGAAGACGTCCGGTGACATCCTGAGTCCAAGAGAGGCAGATCATTTGAGAATATTTAAAATACAACACAGTCCAATTTATTTCTGTACTTTCACTGCAAAGATCAGCATCAATAGACCAGAGGAGTCGATAAGTGCCATGTTTTACTGTGCAGTCAGCAGCTGTCAGTCATAATGTATTATTGTGGTGATGTGTGTTAGTTGAGTCTGAGTGCGGTGCTGTCTCCCGTCGCTCTCCTGGATCAGTCGTCTGTTTCTATTCATCTGCAGACGACACAAGCGTCAGGTCCAGACAGTAAAACAGATGCTTATGATGAATATTAACCGGAATATTTCACTAATACTTTGAATATCTGAGGATCAACATCCTTATGTGACCTTTAACAAACTAGTCATGTGATCGTAGAAGTACGAGACATGGACGAATCAAAACTTTAACGACGACATGTCACAAAACTTTAACTTTAAAAAAAAAAAAACTACTTTTATTGATCACACAAGGAGGAAATCCTAACCCTGGGATTTAAAATCAATGTCCTCTAATAAAATACTTTCACTTAATTTAGTTTGCTGCCAAGCTCCTGCTCCACACTCCAGCAGGTGGCGGTGACGCGCCTACGAGCTGGTTTGACAGAAGAAGAAGAGCCCCAGCTCAGCGCAGCGCCCCCTGCGGTCAGAGGAGAAGCTGCAGCAGCAGGTCCAGCGACGGCGAAACAACAGAACCGATCCAACATGGCGTCTAACGGTGAGACACGGTGACCCGCTCCGAGGAGCTAGCTGCTAACGTGGGGACGAACCGGGACCAGCTGTTCGTTAGCACCCAGTGCTAAGCGCTGGTTATTAGCTAGCTGCTAATTGTGCGTGTGTCGAGAGATTCAGGAAACATCAGCGACTCCGGGCACTTAGCATGGAGCCTAGCTTAGCCTAGCTTAGCCTAGCCTAGCTTGAATCTGCTCTGCCGGGACACTTGAGCCACTGACCCGGTCAGTGATGGCGGCTCCCACTGTTCGGATGTGTCTGTTGTTATGAAGACATTAGTGTTTCAATCTGTTTTTAGATTGTCCCGGTTTGAAACCGAGACACGTCTCAAGAAGACATTAGATAATGAAGACAGACAGACAGACAGATAGATAAATAAACAGATAGATAAATAAATAAACATACAGACAGATAGATAAATAAATAAACAGACCGATAAACAGATAGATAAATAAATAAACATACAGACAGATAGATAAACAGATAAATANTTTATTCTTGTGGCATTACAAATGTATTTAAAAATTTTTAGGTTTTAGAGTGTTTTTTCATTTTTGCCTCAAGTCCCACTTAAATTCATTTTTCAGCCACTACCTGACAGCTGTCTATTGCTAGAGGGAACAATATAGTGATATAAACGATGACACAACAGAGTTTTGTCATGCAGTAGATATTGTGCTACTGTATTTCTACTGTGGTGGCTTCAGTTTTCATTGAAGTCATCTTACCTGGCTCCACTGACGTCTACTCCCACCATCAGCTGCCCATTCAGTGACAGCAGTTCATCTCTAAGTTTGATCCTCCCACAGCGGGCTGCTGGGCTCCTCTTCTTCACCTCTGTCACCCAGATGCAGCCCACATCAATGATCGGACCCTGGTCCCGCCTCCTTCTTGGCCCTCCCTTCTTTCTTCCATCAGGGTCCCCAAAAATGGGGATGTTCCCAAAGCTGAGGCCAAACTCAGCAGTATCCCCCTTGTCTTTACTGAGGAAAACGGCATGAACCTCAACATCTAACCCCTCTCTGCAGAGGGAGGGGCTGGCTGACAGAGCTGTGTCACCCTCCATGAAGTTGAACTTAATGTACTCCACCAACTTCTGAATGGCAGCCAGACACAGGGACATGTCCTCCACATTAACACTGTTAACACTGCTGCTACTGCACACACTATCCCCTTCCCCATTCTGGTTGGAGTCCTGATCCGCATGCTGGAGGAGGAAGAAGAGGAGTGAGCAGTGAATGAAACTGGATAACACTACATGAAAACAACTTAACGTTCATGTACTACTGCTGATTGTTTGCTTAAGAACATTCTGGTCACTAGTTTATTTCTTTACGCTCATGTAGGGAGTCTTTGGAACGCATGAGATGTTTTAAGTTTAAGCACATCAACAGTTCCATGTGTTTAACGTGTAACTTTTGGATCATCACAAAGCGCCCTCTAACGCTCAACAAACCAAGTGACAAAACAAGCTGTCACAAACTAAATATATTCCATACAACTCGATGACAAAATGATAGGCCACTTCACATTGGACATGTATGAAGTACCTTGATGCCAGAACTGTCCTGATTCAGGTTGCAATCCTGCTGGGATCTTGTGCTTTGTTCCCCCTGCCAGTCCTCCAGCAACGGGAGGATGCTGAGGGCGTTGTCCTGAGTGATGGGCATCCTGGCATCCTGGGCCTTTTGTTGGGTTTCTCACCAACAGCTACACTGATGATTCCAAAGGTTAGTATAGGCACAGTATCCAGTGTGGGCTGATGGCCCAACATCCATCTCTGAAAGAGGCTGGCTGCAGAGAAACTGTGCAAACTTTACTCTGAGATTTCCAAAAGACCTAGGGTGGAAGATAGTGGATGACTGGCTGGACTTTTGTGCTGTGGTGTCTGCAGCACCAGCTCATTACCTAAAGAGAACACAACAATAAGTCACATTATGGCAGCAGATAAAACAGTAAATAATAAAAAAAATATGATTAATATACACATTTCCATTAATCCGTACTACTTCTACTAGGTTATACCAGGGAAGACCACACGATAGTATAATTACACTGTTGGCTGAACATAGAACAATGTTTTTCCAGTTCGATATGTCCCTTCCTGCAGCTTGTCTCGTTCTCATCTCTCAATCATCTAACTAATTCAATAGACAGGCAGACAGACAGACAGACAGATAAATAAATAAACATACAGACAGATAGATAGATAAACAGACAGATAAATAAATAAACAGAGAGACAGACAGACAGATGCACATGAGGTCTGTGCTTTAATCGACCTGTGATTGAGTCAGTAATCAAAGTGTAAACACAGCAGGTGCATCGTACAACTGAACAGAGATTCAATCTTAGAGCATCAGAAGACAGTGTTGCTCTGTGTCACAGCCTCTTCTCTGTCAGATTGGAACAAATGTTCATTCAGTCCGATGATTTCATCCTTTTCATTTATTCTGTGTGTGTGTGTGTGTGTGTGTGTGTGTGTGTGTGACTGCTGAGCATTTCGAGTCCGTTCTTTTTATCAGAGGTAAATTCTCCACATGTGGAACGTGTGTCACCTGATTGTCACATCTGTAACACGAGTTCTGTTTTGTTGACAAGAAGCTCGTGAATCAAGTTTGAGTCAGTCTCTGTTTCATGAATTGGTTTTGAAAACATAATGTGTTGTACTTTATAATGTTGACACTTCTTTTTCTTTATTCCACAGATTATTCCCAAACATCTTCTCAGGGGTAAGTATTACAACACTCATCCAATCATAAAGGTTTCTCACACGTTTGTGTCACTACGTTTTTATATATACTGTTGGATTTATTATTGTTATCTCGAAACGATCAAGACACTTATATTATACAAACATTCTTAAATTGTCTTAAAACTGTTTAATCGTTGGGATCTTGATGAGTTCACATTCTAAAGTAAAGAATCTAAATACAATGAAAATGATTTAATTCTTATATCTTGTTAAATGAGGTGCTTGTTTTTAACCACTTGCAGTTATGGCTCCTATGGTGGAGGAGGAGGAGGAGGAGGAGGTGGAGGTGCTAACCAGGGCTACGGTCAGTCCTCTGGTCAGAGCTACAGCCAGCAGGGATACGGAGGCTACAACCAAGGCTCTGACAGCAGCTCTGGATCCTACAACCAGGGAGGATACGGCAGCTATGGTCAACCTCCGTCAGGTACCGACTCCGTCACTGATCTTCAGACCTTGTGGTGGTGGTGTTGAATTTAACAGCCTGTCATGTCTTCTGCTTCCTCCCAGATGGATACGGTTCTCCCCCCTCTAACCAGGGTGGGGGTGGTGGTTATAATCATTCCAGTCAGTCCTACAGCTCTGGAGGCTACAGCAGCAGCAGCAGCAGCCAGCCCTCGAACATGAGCTACAACCAGCAGTCCTCCTTCTCTGGTTACAGCCAGCAGCAGCCACCGTCCTCCTCCTCTGCCGGGTAAGCATCGCCTTCTGCTGCTTTTACTTTGAAATAACCAAGATTTAGCCACATTTGATCTGATCCTCCTGGACAACATTTTATTCTGTAAAGAACACGAGGTTGACACAAACCTATAGAACAGAGTTCCTCTCCGAAGCTGCTGCGGAGCCAAGACGTGCACAGGTTTCAGTGATTTCTTTCTCCAACAGCTACGAGGGGAACTCCCAGGCCCCGGCCTACAACCAGCCTCCCGGTGGTGGGCAGAGTGGGGGTGGTTACGGGAGCGGTGGAGGTCAGACCGGTGGATATGGTGGAAGCCATCAACAACCACCCCAACATGGAGGAGGTCACTACAACCAGCCTCCGAGCTACAACCCCCCCCCTCCACAGAGCTACAGTCAGCAGAGCCAGTATGGACAAAGTGGAGGTGAGAAATAGATTCAAGTTTTTAAAGTCCAGAAAGTTTCTGCCTCCTGAACTCATGACTGGGATCTGGACGCACATGAGAAGAGTCTGATATTAAAGGTTCTTCCTCTTGTTCTTCTCTTCAGCCTTTTTCAATGAACGTCCGGAGCGTTCAGGATATGACCTTTAAAAAAAACAAGTACATCTACGAAGAAGTAGATCCAAAGAAACGTGTTCACGACTGCAGCTCATCTTAAGAAGCTGGGACAATAAACCAAACTAAACATTACACCGAAGCTATTTATTGTTCAAACCAGTGAGGGCGTCCAGAACGTGTGTCACACAATCTTAAAGAACACGAGGTCTGACTGTCACAACTTTGTCTCAGGATACGGAGGCGACAGCCCACCGATGAGTGAAGGCGGATACAGTGGTCCTGACGGAGGCTACGGGGGGCAGGATGGTCGCGGCGGCAGGGGTCGCGGCGGTGGATTTGGAGGTCGGGGTGGTGGCGGATATGATCGTGGTTTTGACAGAGGTGGGCGAGGTGGACCAAGAGGAAGAGGAGGCATGGGGTAAGTGTGTAAAACATCACCCAGGTCTCCTGGAAGAAGAGAGTTTGATTAATCTGAGTAGAGATGCATGAAAATGTCTTTGGTTACACGTGGAAGTGAGAGAAAGTAAGAGACTGGGTGTTGTTAAACGTGTGGCCACAGGTGTGTGTTGGTGTGAAACAATGCCTACATTCTCGAGTAAAAACAATCCCAGGTCCACTTGGTTCTTATCAACACTTCCTGTCAGTAACAGTTCCTCCTCCTCATCGCTCCAGGAAAAGAAATCCCTGCTCTGTCTGTTCACCATCACTGTTCCTCGTTTGTAGTATTTTGTGTAACTAACAACCAACTGCAGAGGAGACAATCTACTTCCTGTCTACACCACACGACCAGTGTACGTGACATGTGTGTTCAGGTGTGTTAGTGTGGACGGAGATTATTTTAGTTTCAAAATTAAAACAAACTCATGATAGAAATATCATCAGTTCTGATTCTGCACCAAATAATTCAGGGTAAGAAAACTGATCCCGATATTTCTTACTAAAAAAAGATTCTGTGCTCTGACAGAGAGAGACGTCATGTCCTGATTATATATATTATATATGATAATATTATCAACAGACTGCCACTGAAAACATTTTATTACCGTTTAATGATTTAGAAAACATCAGTTTGTCGCATGCATTTTCCTACACAGTAAAATATATTATACTAATAATCTACATTTTATTTTCATAAACATCTGGTGATGCTGTACTCATGAACACGGCAGCAGAGACAAACAGAGACAAACAGAGACAAACAGAGACAAACAGAGACAAGCAGAGACAAACAGAGACAAGCAGAGACAAACAGAGACTAACAGAGACAAGCAGAGACAAACAGAGACAAACAGAGACAAGCAGTCACAAGCAGAGACAAGCAGAGACAAACAGAGACAAGCAGAGACAAGCAGAGACAAACAGAGACAAGCAGAGACAAACAGAGACAAGCGTTTGTGTCCAGATCTTGATCTCATGTCACACAACATTTTTAAATCCCTGGTATCAGACTTAAAAACTCTGAACTGAACTCGCTGGTAAAACTTGGATGCTGAGACGAGGTGTCACACGTATCCAGAGCATCTCAGCTTCTTTCTTTTGTACAATGGGAGGAAGTGGAGACTTGTCGTCCGTCTTTATTCACAGTCTGTCACTGGAGCGTGTGTCCTGGTACAACCTGTGGGTCTTATCCCAGTATAATGACGTTTATTGTGTCATTTATAAAAAGGGACAAACTGAGCAAGTGTTAAAATGTAGACTGAAGACAATTAAACACAAAGTACAGCTGCTTATTTTTATATACTTTTCCTAATTCATTGAATACTGCACAACAACTCTACACACTGAGATGTCCAAAGCAATATTTATATACAAGAACAGACCGAGTTGTGTTTCCATGGCAAGTAAAGGGCCTACACACACACACACACACACACACTTACACACTAACACACCACAAGACATCACCATCACCTGCCTGTCTCACCTGTTGGCGCCTCCTGTCCGAGCAGCCCTGACGGATCACTGTGTCATACTCTGCTTTAATCAATCTTTGAATCTTCTCCTAGGCTTTTACCTTCTCTCCACGCTGGCTTTCTGCTCTTAAAACGTCTTTTGGGAAATGGAGAAATGGGGGAAGTCACCAGACAGTAAACAGTCCTCTCGTAGATGGAATGATTAATCATTTAAAATACTAATAGTTTGGGTGGTCGTGATAAAAGCTGAAAACAAAACCTGTTTGGGGATTTGCTGCATTTCTGGAAAAATTACCTAAGACGTAATAAAAGAAAAGAAATCAACATCTTAATGTTTGGGTTGGTTAATTGACACAAAACCAAGTTGTGTGATGAAATAGAATGGGAACGTACACGTTGCTAAAAGACTTGGTAGAAATTTTTGGGGGTAAAAACGGCAAATTTCCGTTGCTTTTACACAAATAAAGACAAGGTCTTTAAAGTGGCCTGTTGTCCTCGGAGGTTTATTCAGGAGACATGGACAATATGAAGTAGGGGTTCAGATGAAGAAGGGGTGGGGTTAATGAAGAGACTGAGAGTGAAGGTTACCCACAACCCAGTGAGAGAAATCGCTGTCAGCACCAGCCTTCAATGTGAGTCGTTTCTTTCTCCCTCTTCATCAGAATGGGCGATCGTGGAGGATTCAATAAGTTTGGTGGTAAGTGATTAAAAAAAACACTTGAGCAAAGAGGTTTGTTGAGTTTGAAGAGGGGTCAGAGGTCACACTCCAAACACAGAGCTGTGCTGATTTACCTGTGTGCTGTTTGAGTAACCTGAGGACGAAGACAATTACACTTAATCACTGCAGCAGATTATCTCAGAGGACGATGAGACACTCGCTCCAGCTGCTGGACGTAAATATGAATAGTGAGTCACACTCACTGTGGTAATAACAGGCGTCTTCTGGTTTGTGTTACTTCCCGAGTGTTGTGAAGAGCTGACAGTGTGAAGTGAGGCGCAGCAGAGGGAGTCATCCGGTCACTTTCACACGTCTTCTTCTTACCTCTCGTATCCGTGCTGTTAGAATCTGAAGGTGTTTGAATCCAATGGGTGTTCAGGTGCTTTACGAGCAAAAGAGACGAGAGGAGGAAACTCTCCGTAGCTTGAACTGAACAACAACAACAAGAAGCAGGGGAAATGTCCTGTGATTCAGATTTCACACAAAGATGAGTGTTGGATGGTGAAAACCGGTTTAAATGTAAACCGGTGTAACATTATCAAGTACCAGTAACTTGACATGGTACTGTGTGTACTGTGTGTACTGTGTGTACTGTGTGTACTGTGTGTACTGCAAACACCAGGAAAGTTTGAGGTTTTACAACAACTCAATGATTCATCTGGAACACAAAGACCATCTGAAATAAGCACTGACCACATGACTCAGTCTGTTGTTCGGGTGAAGTAAACCCAAAGGTTGAGCACACGTGATATTTACTTTGAATCACTGCGTGTTCTACGTTTACGACTGAAGGTTTGCTCCTGGATGGGACAGAGATGTTTGACATTTACATTCAAACCGTTCAGTTTGAAGCTGCTTTTATTCATCTCTTAAAATCAGCAGGTGACATGAGGACACGTAGAGAGTCTCAATGAGCTGATCCATTTTAAATTATTACATGAACATTACCCAGAAGGACTGAGAGAGAAACCTCTGCCAATGATTCCACACACACTGGTTTTAGTTTCAGACAGTTTCTTCACATGTCAGATTTCCTCTCATAAAGAGTTTCAGAGAGTGTCACTAAAAGTTAAAGTGGTTTCGTCACTTTGATCGAATCCAAAGTGAACGGGTTGTGTAGCTCGTCTTTCCACCGAGGGGAAAGAAAATCCGTTCAACAAACAAAGAAACGATGGAAACACAACCTCCACGACGAGGAGCGGACATAAAGTTTACAACTCCAACGAACGACTGAAATAACACGAGGAAAACACGGTCGCTGACTGTGATCGTATAAAAAATCAACTTTATTGTGACAATGCAAAACGGTAAGAAAGGGTGGAGCCTGAAATGAATTAATCAATCACTTGGTCCTGAAGTGGAATTGAGTTGTGAAATCTCGGGGACTCTGGTGCCTGTGGAAATTCGTCACTGTCACGGAAAAAAATGTGTTGTTTGGACAATGAGTCGCTTCAGTGTTGATGTGAGGGGGCGTGGCTTCTGATAACTTATTAACCTCTGACAATAAGTTTGTTTTCAAATAAGGAAGGTCACTTCCTGAAGCTCCGGTAAATCCAGTGTCTTCACGCTGACGGGACTTTACACACCAACTTGTTGACCTCGGAAAGAACACGTGTTGGAATGAAACGATGCGTAACTGTACGTGACCACAAAGAATTCTCAGAACGACAAACACGGTGTTCTTAATCCCACGATGTATGTCGGTACATTTCCCAACCATTCTTTGTAAAGCCCTGTGGAAACTGAAGTAGACACTGGAATGAATGACACGGATTACCGTGTCAGAGGAACGTACACTTACTCAAAAACAGATTGTGTTTCAACGGGTTGGACTTGGTCTCAGGAGCCGGTTGAGTTTGTGAGAGATGATTCTTCTCTTGTCAGAGCAGCATCTGATTTAGGTTTGTGTAGCGGCTGCACTCACAAACTCACAGGTAACAAAAAGTAAAAGTTCATACATTTAACATCACAGTAAGTCACCACCGGAGACACGACACACATTTAACTGCACGAAACAAACACGTTGACGTACTTTTGATTAGGTTCCATGTTTAATGGAAAGGAAATGGTTGTTAGACAAGGAAGACATGCATCAACACAAGTGCTTCGACTTGTGACCATGAAAGATTAACGAGCGGCTGCGTGAGGTGTCAGACTGACGCTATGAGACGACTGAAGCCTGTGTAACGACACGGTGAGAACAGCGGTGGGTGTCCTGAGGCTCAGTATGTCAGTAATGTGAATGGTCTTGTTTCATGACTTGAAAGCTTCTCATTAAGAGACAAGATGATGTGATGACAGTAGAAAGAACCCAGACGTGCAGAGTTTAGTCTGAGAGCTGGTTCTGTTCTGGTGGGAAGAAAATCAGTGCACAGTCTGTGGCATGTTCGTTTGTGTTGTTTTCCACAAATGACGTGTTGTTGTGTTTTTTTGTCCTCTCAAGGACCAAGAGACTCGGGACATGGACATGGAGGACCCGGCTTCAGTGAGTTTCATTTGTTTCTAACACACTCACACACACTGGATATTTTTCAGCCAATCATGTGACTTCAGTCCCTCCTCCACGTTTCCACCGCTCTGCTCAGAAGATGGCTGCGTCTGTCCTCGATATCGTAGCTTCGTTGTCCTGCGAGATAAATGTTCACATTGATTCAGTCTGTGTTTGAGCTGTGAGACGTGGAGGTGCAGGTCCTGAACCAGGCCTCTGACAAACACTGGTGGGACAGAGGGACGAGGCTCGCTGGTCCAAACACTTGATGTGGACACACTCGAGCGGGAGGATCAGAGATGACTTTTATCAGATGTCTTCACGTCGCTCTGCTGCTCAAAGTGGCATCAAATCAATGAGCGTGTCTTTAACGCCACAGTGAGAGTGTAGACGAGACGTTAACAGGAGAGTCGTCCTGAACATGTTGTCTGTCCACAGTGCAGGACCAGGACAACTCTGACAATAACACCATCTTCGTACAAGGCCTGGGCGACGACTACACCGTCGAGTCAGTGGCCGACTTTTTTAAGCAGATTGGAATCATTAAGGTCAGTTCCAACATGTTCATGAGATAGAGTACTACATGGAGTGTAGTACTACATGGAGTGTAGTACTACACTCCATGTAGTACTACACTCCATGTCGTACATGGGGTTAGTACTACATGGAGTGTTGGCTCCAGAAAATATACGTATTAGTGAAATATGAGTTTGTATTTTACAAAGTCGATCAAACAGATTTGAGGCTCAGACTTTGGAGAAAAAAACAAATGATAATTTCCAGAATCTTGAACTGAGAGTTTTCAGATTCTGATTGATTGAAAAAGTCACGTTCAACAGATTGAAGGATCAGTAAATAAGTGGAATGTGTATTTGTTGGTTTTTGGGGCTGGACCTTGTGTCGTCCACTGTCCTCTGTATAAATCTGATCTGGACTCATCCTCTCTTATCAGAAAAACGTCTTCGTGTCATGTGATCAATCTGTTTTGTCTCCAGGTCAACAAGAAGACGGGTCTTCCCATGATCAACCTGTACACAGACAGAGAGACGGGAAAGCTGAAAGGAGAGGCCACCGTTTCTTTTGACGACCCCCCCTCAGCTAAAGCTGCCATCGACTGGTTTGATGGTTCGTCCTCATTAGATTTTTAACGAGGTTGTAGTTTAGGAATCCGACGGAAGCAGATGATACTAAAGCAGCAGCGCCCCCTGCAGCCACACGTGGTCATTAATTCTGTTGGTCTCTGAGTGACGAAAAACAAAGTCTCAGTGTGTTGAGAGACTGGATATTACCCATGATCCTCTGCTTCCTGAACCAGAATCTGTTCTTCATGTTTTAAAGTTTCCTGCTGAACCTTTGAGATGAACTCTGGTTGTTAAAAACTTCAGTCTCTCAGTTTGTCTTCAGTCGTGTTCGAGCGTCTCACGTCTTCACTCTTCTCTCCAGGTAAAGACTTCAACGGAAATCCTCTCAAAGTTTCCTTCGCCACTCGCAGAGCCGACTTCGGAGGCCGAGGGGGAATGAGGGGGGGTCGCGGACGAGGAGGTGAGGACATTTTTTAAACGTTGGTATTTTGGACGAGATGTTTTTTGTCTCATTTGACACAAAGTTCAGTTTGTCCCTTCACGCCTCAGTTGTGTTGTTGTGTTGTTCAGTTTCTCTTCTCGTCTCATTATTTAAAGTACGAGCGATGAAGAAGCAGCTTCTGTAGATTCAACTTCACAAACTCATGTGACGGACAAACGTCAGTCACACATGCTGCTGATCTCACTCCGTCGCGTTTCTTCTCGTTGAAGGGCCCATGGGCCACGGAGGGTTCGGGGGGGGTCGAGGCGGAGGTTTCCCAGGAGGCAACGGCGGCAACGGCGGCGGGGGAGGAGGAGGCGGGGGAAGTGGAGGTGGTGGCGGGGGACAGCAGAGAGCTGGAGACTGGAAGTGCTCGAACCCGTGAGTCAGGATGTGGTTATCACTGATATGTTCAGTTTCATGAATTCACAAAAAGATTTTCTACCATCGACAGAATAATAATAATTCTGTTTATCATCTTAGTTCAAGTCTTTTGTACGTTATTCTACGCTACATCTTATTTTTATTGTGAGTGTTTTCTGATCGCTGTCTTTTCTCCTCAGTAACTGTGGCAACCTGAACTTCTCGTGGAGAAATGAGTGCAACCAGTGCAAGGCTCCGAAACCAGAGGATGCTGGGGGGGTGCCCCCGATGGAACGAGGTCGGACATGTTGATTTTGCTTTCTACTTGATTTCTCTTAAACTTGAAATCGACATAACAAAGAGTAATAAGTCAGGTGTGAGGAGGAGCGGACAGAAGAATCACAGGCTCTCTGCTCGTTCTGCTCTCAGGAGGTTACGGAGGAGATCGCAGAGGAGGGTTTGACCGCGGCGGCTTCAGGGGCCGAGGTGGCGGCGACCGTGGGGGCTTCAGAGGGGGCCGAGGAGGCGATCGGGGAGGATACGGCCCTGGCAAAATGGAAGCAAGGTCAGAGTCACTCAAAAAAAACTCGAACCCTTGATGTCAACGTTTTAAATTTTTATTACATGAAACGTTCAGAATTCTGTTTCCAGCTAATTTAACCAAAGTTTATGTGACGCTGAGAGTTTCCTGACGTGACACGATGTCTCATGTCCTTTTGTTTCAGGGGGGACCACAGACAGGAGCGACGGGGCCGTCCCTACTAAATCATCCTTCGAGGACAGACTCCTCCAGGAACAGTGTGTGTCCCTGTCCACACCTCTGACACACCTCTGTTCACAGTGACCCTCAGTGTGTAGAAAAATGTGACTGTCCCTGTTTCTTGTGTTTGTTCTTGTTCGTGTCGCTCAGTGTTTTCACCCCCTCCCCCTCCTCCTCCTCCCCCTCCCCCTCCTCCC